CCGGCGGATGGGGAGCAGCGTGGGGCCCGAGCGCGCACCGGCTCGGCCTCGGCCGCCGCCTCACCTGGCCGGTGCCACGTCGGAACAGCACCGCGTCCTCCTGCTCCGAGCCTGCACCGCCGCTGCCCATCGCCATGGCAAGCTACCGCGGACGCTGCCGGGGCTCGCCCCGTGACGACTTCCGCCGCGAGGGGCTGCTGGGACCGGAAGAGCACGGTGGCCCGGAGGCAGCCGGGGCTCTTCCGCGCGCTTTAGGCACGTGGCTAAGGCGCTCCCAACTCACGCCTGTGACAGCTCTGTCCTCCTCTTTCTCCCCTTCCCTGTCTCCTAGCTCTTTCCCTTTTTTCCCTCTCATTTTCTTCCAAGTCACTTTCTTCCCTCCACGCCCCCCCCCCCATTTTTTTTCGTTTTTCAATCAGGGCCCCACACTGGTAGTTGAGGCTCGCTGTATAGAGTCCATGTCGGCCTTTGCTCCCCCAGCTTCCCGAGTTGGGGGATTACAGGTTCTGTCAAATTTGTTTTGCCTTTTCAACAATAGTTCTAGTATAAAACAATGGTGATGGCAGGTAGCCCGATAAAGCTGCACAATAAGGGCGTCCTCTGCTTGTCGGTTCTTGAGGCACGCAGCAGTTACTGGGGGATGGACTGGTCCAGGGCCTTCCACTGCGGTGTGAGGTGTCCATTGCATAGTGGGTCCCAGGTGAGGGAGGCCGGCCGTTTCCTTGGTCGGGCATGTCTGGTAAGTTCTTGGGTCTGGTTTTCCTGATAGGATTTTGATACACTCATGGCCCCCATAGTTTCGATTCATCCCGATGAGCTTACAGATTGACTCCCTTGTCTGTCCTCGGGAATAAGTCACTGATCAATCCGTTCTAGCTGGCCCCTGACAGATGGTGACATTTCTCGGTGGACCCAGAGGCTGCAACCATTATCCCCCAAAATGGGGTCAGAAGCTGTTGGGAGGGTAGAGTTGCCAGAGGCAAGCAGGTCTGAGTTTGGGGCCAGCCTGGTCTACATAGGAAGTTCTAGGTCAGTCAGAGGTTCACAGTGAGACCCCGTCTCAAAGTAAAATGGAGCCTCCCAGGGCAGGGCACAGCCTGGCAAATACCACGTGTTTTAGACTATACGGAGCAACTTAGAGTAGAGCATAGCCAATAAGGCAACCCAACAGGGCCCAGTGAGATTTCCCAGAATAAAAAATCAGAACAGGGACCTACCAATAGTGATGGTAATAGACATCGTTAGTTAAGAAAGAATGTGCCCAGCTGTGGAAGTGGGTAAAATAATCTGGGAAGGGTACTGTAGTGTCCTGTCAGAATCTTCAGGAGAACTGTGGTCCCAAACATCTTTCTAAGGAGCTGAAAGATGATCAGTTGTCTATAAATTCTATGCTAATGAGAAATGTGGCAGGCCATTTTCTCATTGTGCAAACATAGTATACTTACATAAACTAAGAGGTCTACATGTTTTGTTTGTTTTCTTTTGTGGCAGAGGCTGTAACTTGGGACTTCACCCATGCTAAGTACATGTTCTATGACATGTGCTGTCTGTCTCAGGAAAATGCTACATAACAGGAGCTTTGTAGTCCAGGTTTGTCTCAAGGTCATGGTCTGTCTCAGCCTCCTCAGTCCTGCCTGGGATTACAGGAATAGAGTAGCACTGTGCCCAGCATTATACGATGTAGATTTTATGCAATACCTGTCAAATATGTCATCCATCATTGACTTCAAAGTCATTATAGGGCAAATCACTGTACCTTCAGAAAGAGTATTCACACCTCATGAATACGAAATTCCATTGCTAGGTATTACTTAATAATTATTATTGCTTATGACCACCATATTTCTATTCTGTAAATTCTCATATGGGGCTGGGTATTAGCAGTAAAATGCTTGTCTAATATGCATAAGAACCTAGGGTTGATCCCCAGTGTTTCATGGAGAAAAAATTATGCTAGTATTATTCATAATATTCATAATAGCCTTATACTGGAAGCAATGCAAGTATCTGTGCCCCTAGCTAACTTAGGGAATAGTCACACAACAGAACACTGTACAACAATGTCTCAACAACAAAAACCCATGGTTTTTTCTTAAAAGAAGTGAATGTATAAGGTAAAAGCTGTATGAAGTATTAGATAATTCTAGAAATTAGATCTTTGTAGAATTGAGGCTGCTTATTCTGTTGCTTCAGTGGTTTTTGTTTATTTGAGACAGGACCTTGATAGGTAGCCCAAGGCAGCTTCAAACTCAGGGTCATCCTACTGCATCAGCCTCCCAAGACCTGGGATTATGAGTATTCACCACGACATCTGTTTTCAGTGGTGCTTTTATGGATGGGCCATTTCTGAAATATGTTCCAACTTGTAATTATGACATAACAAATGTGTTAGCAGATAAAGTTGAACAAGGCACTTGAATAAATGTTCTGGCCTGGCGGTGGTTGCGCACGCCTTTAATCCGGAGGCAGAGGCAGGTGGATCTCTGTGAGTTCGAGGCCAGCATGGTCTCCAAAGCGAGTTCCATGAAAGGCACACAGAGAAACCCTGTCTCGAAAAAACCAAAAAGTAAATAAATAAATAAATAAATAAATATTCTGAGTGTTTAGATTTTGTGGTTATTTGTTGTGGCACTTAAAACATTTTCATTGATTTGTTGTTGTTGTTGTTGTTGTTGTTGTTGTTGTTGCTGTTTTGTTTTTCAAGACAGGTAGTCATGGCTGTCCTGGAACTTGATCTGTAGACCAGGCTGGACTTGAACTCACAGAGATCCACCTGCCTCTGCCTCCTGAGGGCTGGAATTAAAGATATGCTCTACCACCACCTAGCTTTGAACTTTAATGAAATAGTTTATTTATTTAGTCATGAATGTAAATTTTTTAATTTTTATTTTTAATTATGTGTATGTGTGTGTGTGTGCATGTAAGGGAAAGTGCCCACAGAGGCCAAAAGTGTCAGATCACCCAGGAGTTACAGTTACAGGTGGTATGAACTGCCTGACATGGGTCCTGGAAACTGAACCCAGGTCCTCTGCAAGAGCAATACATGCTTTTAACTGCTGAACTATCCATCCTTCTGATTGTCTGATATAGTGTCTCACTCTGTGGCCCCAAGCTCCTGCTAATCATCCTGCTGAGGCCTCCTGAGGGTGAGATTACAGGCATGACACACTATACCTAGCTTGGTTTTTGTTTTTTATTTTTATTTATTTCTGTATTTACTTATTTATTTGGCCTTTTGAGACAAGGTTTCTCTGTGCAGCCTTGTGTTACAGGATATTTGCACACTGTGTGAAGGTTTATTGCTGTGATTGGTGTAATAAAAAGCTGAACAGCCAATCGCTAGGCAGGAAGTATAGGTGGGACTTCTGGGCAGAGAGGGGAAGTAGGAGGAGGAATCTAGGCATGGGAGAGAGACACAAGGAGACACTAACAAAGCAGGATTTGTGGTACATGATGGAGCGTAGATTAATAGAAATGGATTAATGTAAGTTATAAGAGCTAGTTAAAAACAAGCCTAAGATAAGGCCGAGCTTTCATAATTAATAAGTCTCTGTGTTATTATTTGTGAGCTGGTGGTCCAAAATAAAATCTTACTACAGCTTTGGCTGTTCTAGAACTCACTCTGTAGACTAGGCTGGCCTTGAACTCACAGAGATCCACCTGCCTCTGCCTCCTGAGTGCTGGGATTTAAGACATGCACCAACACTGCCTGGCTTTGTTTGCTTTTGAAATAGGTTATCATCTAAAGAAATAATGGATTTAATAAGATAACATCTGTTGTGGAATAATCTTTTTGTACACTGTAAGTATGTACTGCTGTCATTGTTAATAAAGAACTGACTGGCCAATAGCTAGGCAGGATTTTGGGGGCAGAGAGAACATTAGGAAGAAGAAGGGCTAAACCAAAGAATCTTGAGGAGATGTGGAGAGGAGATGAACTTGCCATACTGAGAAAAGGTACCAAGCCATGTGACAGAGCATAAATAAGAAATATGGGTTAACTTAAAATGTAAGAGCTAGTTAGTAACAAGCCTTAGCTATCGGCCGAGCATTTATAATTAATATTAAGTCTCTGTTGTGGTTATTTGGGAACTGGTTGATGGTAAAGAAAAGTCCGCCTACAAATATGTGCCCTGATTATGATGCATCACTTCTTGAAACCCCTGACAGAAATGGTAGTAATATACAAATCTCATAATCTGGCAAATCTATATTAGGGGTCTATTGCTCCAGAAATGCGTTTGTTTTCATTGTATTTGTATTTGCATGTATGCAAGTGTCTGTCTGTGTGTACACCACCCATGGGAGGTGCCCATGGAGGCCAGAAGATGATATCAGATCCCCTGAAGCTGGAGTTGCAGTTGAGTGTGAACCACCTGATGTGGGTGCTAGGCACTGAGGAACCTGGAAGAACCCGGGAACCTCTCTAACCTCCCATGCCTCCAAGCTTTAACTGCTCAAAGTGTATGTATCTTCTAATTTATAACAACCACCAAATCATGTTAAACTTTTATTTAAACATTTTTATTATACTTAGGTATTTACTTATAATGTGGGTGGGTGTGAGGGAGTGCGTTCTGTCCTTGTACTGTGTGGTTTTGCAGGATCTAACTCAGGTCATCAGGGTTGTGCAGCACCTGCAACTTACTGCCGAGCCCTCTCTCCTGGCCCAAATCATATTTTAAGTGTGTGTTCTTTTGTGTGTGTGTGGTGGTAGGGATCAAACTCAGGGCCTCAAGACCGGAGGGTGGGCCCAGGGATGTAGCTGGTTGGTGGACTGCTTGCCTAGCATGCATAAAGTCCTGTGCTCATCTCCATTCCCTATTACTGTGTAAACCGAGCAAAGTGGACAGCCTGTAATCTCAGGTTTTGGGATAGTCAGGAATATCAGTAGTTCAAGGTCATCCTTGTGGTGATATTTCGTTGTACTCTAATAAAACTTGCATGAAGATCAGAGGACAGAGCCAGCCACAGAGGTCAGGCAATGGTGGCACACACCTTTAATCCTAGCACTCAGGAGGCAGAGATCCATCTGGATCTCTGTGAGTTCAAAACCACCCTGGACTACACAAGATTAATCAAGTTTAGAAGATAAACAGTCAGGCAATGGTGGCACACACCTTTAATCCCAGTACTTGGAAGTCACACACTGTTTTTGCGGGGGGTGGGGGTGGGGTCTTTTCAAGACTGGGTTTCTCTGTGTAGCTTTAGAGCCTGTCCTGGAACTCACAGAGACCTGCCTGCCTCTGCCTTTCAAGTGCTGGAATTAAAGGCATGCGATACCACCACCCATCTTGGGAGTCACACTCCTTTAATCCCAGCACGAGGAAGGTTGAGACAGGAAGTGATATGGCTGGGCAGAGAAAGGAATATAAGGCGGGAGGAGACAGGAATTAGGCCCTTTCAGCTGAGGACTCAGAGGCATTCAGTCTGAGGATTCGTGAAGACAGGATCTTCTCTTTCTGGCTGAGGAGTCGGCAAGGTAAGAAGTGGCCCTGGTTTGTTTCCTCTGATACTCCAGCATTTACCCCATATCTGGCTCCAGGTTTTTATTATGACCATTTGGGATTAGTGCAACACGTCTTCAGCTAAATATCAAGTTCAAAATCAGTCTGGGATACAGGAGACCTTATCTAAAACAAAGCAAAACTCCTATACCCAGCCCCAAGTCCCAGGTTTTTGAGTATGCATGTGTATGGAGGTCAGAGGTCAGAGGATGATTGGACCAGTCTTCCTCAACTGCTATTTGCCTTACTTTTCAAAACAAGTTTTTTTTTTTAAATTAAATTTTTAAAAAATAATTATTTTGTGTGCATTGGTGTTTTGTCCACATGTCTGTCTATGTGATGGTGCTAGGTCCCTTGAAACTGGAGCTATAGGCAGTTGTGAGCTGCCATTTGGGTGCTAGGAATTGAACTCTGGTCCTTATGAAGAGCAGCCAGTGCTCTTAACCTCTGAACCCCATCTCCAGTCTAGGGAGCAGCATGTAATGGCACACAGGTAAAGCCATGGAAAAATGTGGTGACATATAATTAACAGAAATGGGCTGAGTTTAAGTGTAAGAGCTAGTCTGTAGTAAGCCTGAGCTAATGGCCAAGCAGTTTTAATTAATTATTAAGCCTCTGTGTGATTATTTTATAAAAGGCTGTGGGACTGTGGGTGAGAGATTTGTCCTGACCGCCTTTTTTTTTTTTTTTTTTTTTGGCCAGACGGGACACAGGAAAACTTCCAGCTATGATCAAGATTCTAGATTTATATAAGAGATGGTACTGGTACTCCTGAATCACATTACCTATTGTTGCTTGCATCTGAAGTTATCTCCCAGAGCTCATAGTTAAATGCTTCTTCCCCAGCTTGTGGGCCTATTTTGGGAGGCTATGGAACCTTTAGGAGATGAGGTCTAATGGAGGAAAGAGGTCATTAAGGATAGGACTTTGAATGCTAAGCAGGTTCCTCTCCAGACCTGGATTCTTGGTGGGATGAGAACAGCCTCTGCTATGTGCTCTTCCTACCATGACCCGAGCTGCTCTGCTCTGCTCTCCTTTCTATGAAAGGAGTTAAGTCCTCTGAGACCGTGAGCCAATTTGTTCCTCCCTCAACGACACCTTGTCAGGTACTGTGGTGCTAGCAATGCAAATGTAACTAATACCTAGTTAATAAATTACATATCACCTATTTAATGAACAATATAAATGTTCTCTATTGATAAAAATAATATTCACTAGTATATCACATGCATGGTCAGTACTTTATTCTTTGAAGAATGGTCTTAAAACATCATATTAAGTAAGGCTGAAAAGTAAAGTTTAAAATAGTCAGTTTTATAAGGATAAGTTATGACACATGTAATGATTAGTCACTCTGAGAAATTCTGATCTTAGAGCTTATGATGCACCCACTGGCAATAGCACCCACGTTTTCCACAAAGCCAGTCATCATTTTTCTCTTGTCTGCATAGATTTCTTCTCATTGGCTATCTTCTGCTTTTGCTGCATGATCTCAGAGTCCCTGTAATAGAGGAAAAGGTATTAAGTTTTCACAGGAAAACTGGTTTTATGCTATCATTGTTTTTTATATATAACCTTTTTGGTACAATAAAAGACAACTTAAAAGAAGACATAAACAGTTATGTTTTTCCATTTTCATGGATGTAGACAAATAGAAAAGCAAAGACTGGAAAGAATTTGAACACCTTGCTACTGTTATCATGGCCTTGGGCAAATAATCTCAAAGCTCTTTCATTTTGATGGGGAGAAGGGAGAGGGAGAAGACAGAGTTCCACTGTGTAACCATGACTGCACTTGAATTCACTGTGAAGACCAGGCTGGCCTCAAACTCATAGAAATCTACCTGCCACTGCCTCAGTGCATTTAGGAAGTCTCCTATATTCACTAACAGATACCTAGGACTACAGTATAAATGTTATAATTCTCTGCTGTTTTGTTCTGTTTTTATTTTTTTGAGACAGGGTTTCATGTAGCCCAGAGATGGTCTTCAAACTGATACACAGTCAAAAAGACTTTCAACTCTTGATCCTCTTGTCTCCACTTCCTGAGTGTTGGAATTACAATGATCCAGCTTATTTAAAGCCCCAAAATCAAATAATCAATCTTGAAAATTTACTCTAAAGAAATTTGTGGTATTTGAAGAATTTTCTTAACCTTTGTATCTCCCTGGTTGAATTTTTTTTTTTTTTTTTTTTTTTTTTTTTTTTTTTTTTTTTTTTTAGCTGAGGACAGAACCCAAGGCCTTGAGCTTGCTAGGCAAGCACTCTACCACTGAGCTAAATCCCCAACTCCCTGGTTGAATCTTTACACGTCATGTAACTATGAACTAGGGCCAAACTACCTTAGCTAGGTGATCCATGAGTTAGTAGGACCCAAACTTACACATATATTTTCAAATGCCTTTTTTATAGTTAGTGGTTGCTGAATGTGGTAGTGCACTCCCATAACCCAAGTTCTTGGGAGGTAGAAGCAGGAAGATAAGAAGCTCAGGGTCTGACTCCACCACATAGGAAGTTCCAGGCTAACCTGGGACAGATGAGTCCTTATACATCCTCTTCCTTTAAAAAAAAAAATCCCACAAAACAGAACAAATAATATTTAATGACACTAGGCATCAAATCCAGGGCCTCATTCACAGGTGAAGTACTCCATATTTTTAAATATACTACAAAGCTACCTATTCAACATCCTTAGCTGGGTGTGGTGGTTCACATCTGTAATTCCACTACATGGGAGGCTAAGATTACTACCAGTTCTAGGCTAGTCTAAGTTATGTACTGATTTCCAATCAAGCCTGAGATACAGTGTGAGGCCTTGTCTCAAAAAGAAAAAGAAATCAAGCCAAAACAAAGCCACCTTTGCTGAGCCAAGCCCTACTCACTTTTGTTTTTTTTATTTTTTTTTGCTTAAGTCCAAAAACTTCAGTTACTATCCCCATGTTTCTTATTTAAAAAACAGAAAGGGGACAAGATGGCTCAGCAGTTAAGAGCACTGGCTGCTCTTGCAGAGGACCCAAGTTCAGTTTCCAGAACCACATGGTAGCTTATGACTGCCTGTAACTTCAGTTCCAGGGGATCCAATGACTTCTGACTCCATGGGCATCAGGCATGCAGGTGGTACACATACATACATGCAGGTAAAATACTCATACACACAAAATAAAAATAAGCCGGGTGGTGGTGGCCCACACCTTTAATCCCAGCACTCAGAAGGCAGAGTCAGGTGGATCTCTGTGAGTTCCAGGCAAGCCTCGTCTACACAGCGAGATCCAGGACAGGCACCAAAACTACACAGAAAACGTGTCTAAAAAAAAACAACAAAACAACAACAACAAAAAACCAACACCAACACCAAAGTAAATCATTTTTAAATTTAAAATTACATCCCCCCAAAAACAAAACAAAACAAAACAAAACAAAAAAAACAGGCACAAGACTAAATAATATGTCCCAAATCACACAAATACCAAGGTCTGGCTAATTTCAAAATCAGGGACCTTTCCTATGTTGTTAACACCTAAATTTAGAATTAGATTTTAATTCAATGGTGGCTACTTCTATAAGAGGACCCGTCTATAAGTACAATACAGAGAAAGAAGAAAAAACTACAGAGGAATGAATTAAGTGGAATTAAGAACAATGAAAGTTCTGTTTCCTCTTCAAACCAAGCTCTGTGGGATCTGTTACATGACCTTAGTAGTGTCACTCAAGTTCAGAGCCACAGGCCAGACGTGTTGGTTAATGCCTGGTTCCCAGAATTTGCAAGGCTGAGGCAGAAGAATGGTAAGTTCAAGTGTGGGCTATAATGAGACTTTGGGTCTCAAACAAAACAAAACCAGAACTTCACTTTCCTGTTCTTCACATTGGTGCAAATTCCACTTTTTAGGGTCATAATGGGTAGAGATATCTAGCACATTTTAAGGGAGTATTAACTAAACAAACAATGCTGTTTCTGAGACAAGTTGAATAGATTCTCCAATAAAAAGAACATTTCAGGGTTACTGATCTATATTCTTTACTCCAAGGTGAGATAACAGAAACCTAAGGCAAGTTTATTGCTTTATTAGTAACTGTCATTGGGGCTGGAGGGATGTCTCAGTCATTAACGTTCCTGCTGCACAAGCACTAGGATCCATGTTTAGAACCCCCACAAAATCCATGTAAAAAGCAGAACATGGTGGTGTGTCTAAACCCTCCGTGCTGGAGGGGCAGGGCTTAGACAGGCACGACTCTCAAGTTCATTGGCCTGTCAGTCTAGCCAAATTGGTGAGCTTCAATATTTAGTGAGAGACCCTGTCAAAATAAAAGGTGGAGAGTGATGGAGGAAAGATCCTTGACACCAGCCTCTGGGCTCCACACTCACACACGTGTGTGTACCCTTATAAGTACCTGAAGTGTGTACACACCATAAACACACAGTAACTATCATGAAATAAAAGAACCCCGTGTTTGTTTTTGTTCCTACAGATTATAGGAGCTACAAGAGATTCTCTGCAAACAGATGACAGCTTCAGGGCTTCTTCATCCACAGTTTGGGAGGATGATGTCAACACATGGTTTTAGGGCTATACAGATACAGAGTGTTAGCCCTTATTGTAGACGAGGCCCTGTTCTAGCAAGGGCTTAAGGATGTTCTTCATTCATTCTAAAAACATGGCAGTCAAACTACCACTGACTTGAAAATTCTCTCAGCAGTACTTACCTCTGCTTTCTCTGAGAGGTAGTCAAGCTATCCTCTTTTCTTTTTCCTTTGCTAATTTCCTGGGTTTTTTTCATATTTTTCTGGCGGGCAAGTTCTCTTTGATTTCCACCTATAATGATAAACAGTCATGTTCTTTTCCTATCCTCAAAATTATTAATAACTAAATTAAAGGGTCTTTAATTATGAGCCTTCAAGTTTTATTTTTATTAGTACGAAATCAGAGTATCTGGCCAATCCTAATGGAGACTGGTGTGATCAGAATTCAGTAGTATTCACATTGGAATAGACATGGAATAGTGTAAAACCTATGTGAGCAGATGAAATAGAAGCATTAAATTTTTTATCTATATCCAAAAAAACCACATTTTTATATTTACAAAACCATTGAGCTGGTTTGAATAAAGACAAAGTTTGAGCACACACAGCTTCAGAGGGGCCACCCAATATCTAGCTGTGGATTGTGTATTTTGTTTAGAATCAGTAGCTAAAGAAAAATAGAAAATAAAAAAAAATACAAAAAAAAAAAAGCAGAATATTCCACAGTTATTCCCAGATTGGACAAGGAGGAAGCTTAAGTGGAAACACTCTAGAATTTAAGTACATTATCACACCAATACAGGTGTCGATTTGTAGCTTTTAATCCCAGCATGTGGGGAGGCCGAGGTAGGCAGATCTCTGTGTTCCAGGCCAGCCTGGTCTACAGAGCGAGTTCCAGGACAGACAGGGTTACCCAGAGAAAGTCTGTCTCAAAAAACAAACAAATACATATTAAAAAAAAACAAACAAACAAAAATAGCCATCCCAGTGGTGGTGTGCATACGCCACACTCAAGATAAGGTCTGGCTTTTGATGGGTCTGTGTGTGGAGATGGACAGATCGTCCCCCCCAGCCCTCAGATCAATCAGTTCCGCCCACCGCCGGGTCAAGCCAGCAGAGGCTGAGCTCAAGGACCGTCGTCCCCTTGGAGGACCAAACAAAAGAGCCGGAGGGCACCCGGGGCTCCTCGGCAGGCTTCCCGACCTCCGGAGCCGGCTCTAAGTCGGCAGCCGGGTCCCGCGGGGCCCCTCGCACAAGCTCTCGGTGGCTGCGGTCCCCACGACCACCCACACCTGCGAGGCGGGGACCCGTCCCGCCGGGAGCCAGCGTCCCCCGGTGCGCCCGCGCGCGCGTGCCTGCCTGCGTGCGTGCCTGCCTGCGTGCGTGCCTGCCTGCGTGCGTGCATGCGTGCATGTGTGTGCGCCCCGCCCTCCGGTCCGCCAGCTCCCGCTCCCCCACCCCACTCCCGCGTCCCCGTCCCCCCCGCCCCCCCGTGTCCCTCAAACGGTCCGCACACTCACGGGCCATGCCGACCGCCGGCCGGAGTCCGGAAGACAGCGACTTGGAGAAACACACCGGCCGCTCGCACGCTCGGCAGCCGCCCGCCTCCCGGCGCTGAGGAAGGCTGC